TAAATCGCCAGAACGCCGACACCTCCTCATCTCCACCGCTCCCATGTTTTATTTTGTGTTGCCATAAATTAGTCTCTGCGTTTCTGCGCCGGGCTAATGTTAATGCTAATTATGCTAATGCGAGGATAATAAAATGGTGGCTTCACAACACTTTTTTTGAGTTTTACGGGGCGTGGTTTGCAATCCGCCCAGCCAATCAGAAATATAGCTCTTTTCTCACAAGAGAGCCGCATGAGAGTCCCTGCTCTCTAACAGGGACGGAAAAGGGGGTAAAAAGGTTCTCATGAACTCATTTTAGTTCCGGCTCTTTTTGGTGTGAACGCGACATTTCGGAACTATATCGGAACTAAAGTGGGAAAAGTACTCCGGTGTGAACGCGGCTATTGCTAAGTCATAGATAGTTACATTGTCATGGTTTGTGTTGCAGTACCTCTAATGTTGATTGTCTCTTAATTCAACAATAGTGTGGTACTTTTTCAGAGCCCAAGCTGCATCTCATCTCGCCACCTGACAGATGTGTTGAGCCATTTCAATGTGGTATTTTCACAGGATTGTTAAAAATATACAGTGTATACATATACACATTGATTAGCATTTCAGATTTTAATTGTGTATTTTGTGAGTTCAAATATGTTTGTTAACTTAGACAACTTCAAGATTCAGAAGCTTTTATTAAGCCTTATTCCAATTTCACTTTTAAAACCTATATTTTTAAAACATAAAGGAGAAACTGAATAAGTATTTCAACCCATTTAATCAGACTAGCGATCAACAATATTCAAAGAAGAGAAATACAAAAGAAGCTTACTCTAGGTACTGTTGGTGTAAATTGATTTTTAGTTGTTTCTCTCAGTTTTCTGATTCCAACGCTCACATTTTTGTCCTGATTCTGTCTGTAGTAAAGGCCCCTCACACAGCGCCTGTAATACCACACTGGCATGTGGTGGTAATTTATGTATAGGAAATATTGAATTTAGTCTGGTATCTATGCATATTTTAAATGGAACCCAGACTTTCTGCAGGAAGCAGTGACACTACATTTTCAATAACTCCTCCGTAGCTCTGTAAAGGAAGAACGTATCAGTCATTACTTTGACTTTTTATTGAAAATGACAGACAATACAGTGTGACTATCCTAGAATGGAGATAAAACTCTGCAGATTGCTCCAGCCTGCAGTAATACAGCATTCATTTGATATATTATACATTCAACATGGTAAGTATTCCCCTTGGGAAATAAAAGAGCATTGTAAGATACGCTTTATATAAAAAGTTTAAAAGACAGGTGGAGGCTGAAGTGGAGGAAAAACAGCACCTGCTGTTAAAGCAGAGAATACCGTGTAAATGTTTCATGAAATTGGTAAATATGACTTGAAAACTTAAAGCACATTACATTTAATGCAGTGAAATGCGATGATGGTTAATGTGGGCAGTGGATGTTGGTTTCACATTGGTCCCAAAATCAGTTTAGTTCAGCGTCGTGCTACCTGCCAGCAGGTCTCGACACAGAATCGAGTCCTGAGTCCTGAGTCTGACTCTTTTTAAAGCTGCTAAAGGGTTTTTATAGGTATCAAATTACTACATGATATTTGAAAAGTGTTACATGTGACCTATCTCTTTACGTTCCCCCAGCATCTTCTAGCGCTTTTCAGCTGTTTCTGTTGGTTCACACTAACTTAGATCATCAGTGTTGTTTCCAACTACAGAAGAAAGCTGAGTCCAGCAAAAAGGTTCTTAACACCAAGTGTTTGCTGCCTGCCAGCACGAACTGCAGACAGAGTTAGTGACTGACTGGTAAACATAGGAATAAACAGTTTTTACCTGGATGCATAAATAGACATCTAGACTATTGGCTAAAAAGTTTCAAATTCAGTTTACAGCCTGTTTTGCTGCCCCCAAGTGGCCAAAAAAATCAGGTCTGTCATCTGCTTCAAGTGGTTGTGGAAGAAATATTAGGACCGAAATCAACCACATTATCTAAGACACTGGTTCTCAAACTTTTTTTTTAAATTTTTTTTTTTAGGCTTGATTGAATAAGATTAATTCAAAACTAAATCATACTATCAAAATACTACAACGAATGAAAATAAGTTTGAGATAATTGAAACTGTGGTTTAAATTAGTTCTAATAGGCTATTGTTGTTTTTAGATTTAGAAACGAAAACATTTATTTTATTTTATTTCTGGCGTTGCTAATTACGACCTTACTACCCGCTAACGTTGCAAGCAAGCTAAAGAAAGAAGAAAGCTGAATGATGTTAAAAACGTGGCTAAAAACGGGAGGTTTTCGGAAGAGAGGTACAGAGGAGAATATTACCAGCGAAAGTGAACAAGTGAATGAGGAGGAGGACAGTCATCAACCGAGCACAAGCGCAGGCTCCGCAAGCAACGCAAAAGTGATATGCACAGCCGCTGTGATGGAGGAGTGAAGTGACTCAGGAAGAAGGCATTTGCTCAAATAATGGAGAGAAGGCTGTGACCGAGGTCAAACGCTGAAAAAGCACACACTTGTCCTTAATTGTTATCTTTTTTCTTTTCTTTTTTACTTTGCCACCACAGAAATGGCAATAGCAATCTGCTCCTGGAGGCTTCATTATTATTGTGGAACAGAATTC